TACCAAGTCATGTTCGTGATGTTCATGTAAAACACATGCGTCTTCATATCCGAGATCACTGATTCCACTTTCAGCATCCATGGATACCCTCCTGTCTACGTCTCGTTCTCTATCGGTCTTGTTTCTCCATCACAACTTTTGGAAATAATTGAGATTGTTATTATTAGTAGATATATTAAAGACACTGAAAGTGTCACACACAAGTGGTCTCTCGTCACATGATTCTTTTCATGCAGTACACGTATTGATAGAACATGATCTACTTCTTTTTTTTTGGTAAAAGAACATGATCTACTTTTTATCTATCTTGTGTTCACACATGAACACCGTATTGTACATTTTCATAAATCAATAATTACTTATGAATAGCTTGTCTTGTGTGATCTGTTTTGTTGTTTACGCAATCTCCAGTGTGGCCGCATCAGGGACATTCGCATACAAGCTAAGCCCCCACGTTATCCGTCCAGATAAATGTGAAACCAAGCTTTATAATCCAAATATATGTGAATTAAAGTCGCATCTAAAAACCGGGTAAAACTGATTCCTCTAAAATATCTACGCCCCCCAAGATGAGTCTGGAGCATTCCGAAAAACTGATTCCTCAATTGTAACCGATTCTACCTTTGTCTTATTAGTCAAAAAGAAGTTGGCAAAAAAAAAAACATTATAGCAAAAGAGATCCCAAGATAGTGATGAGTCTCCAAATTAACCGCACGGGAAAGTGTGTGAGCATGATCAGTTTTTTTCACTTCCATATTTTAAGAACTAATATACATAACTTTTTGTTTTACTAAAATTAACTTTAAAATGTTTATGGCCTCTAAATTTCAAGTCTGGCCTTACTCGTAAGGAGTCATTTCACTTTTAATCATTAACTAGATTTTGATCTGCGCTTTCTGCGCGAGTTTTATTTTGGTTGTAACAAAATATATCAAATTATTCTATTTTTATTATATGATAGTTTTATATGTGAAATTTTATGTATATTTAACGTTTTAGTAGGATCTTTTTATTGAGTTTTGCATAACCGAGTCAGTTTGTGGTTGAACACAGAATAAAAAAAAAAGTATTGTGAGAGTATGAAAAATTAAAACACATATTACATTTTGACCCGCACTTGGATTAAATAGTTTATTAAAATAATTGCATTTACGATTTTTGAACAATAAAAGTAATATTCAATTTTGACATGCGCTTCTTATATAGTTTATTTATGTTAGTTAAAATAATTACATCTATGATTTTTGAACAATAAAAATAATATTCAATTTTGACCCGCGCATCTTATATAGTTTATTTATGTTAGTTAAAATAATTACATCTATGATTTTTGAACAATAAAAATAATATTCAATTTTGACTAGCGCTTAAGAAGGGCGGGTATTTTTTTGTTAACCATAAAATAAAATATTAAATTAATTTATGAGAGTCAAAGGTAACTCAAAAATAATTTCTTTATGAGAGTCAAAGATAACTCCAAGTATATAAGGAAGAATTAAAATATTGCAAGATTCTGGAGTAACAAATGAGATTTGTTACTCCAAGTATCTCATTTTCTGTTTTAATATGCAGCAAATATAGTATAAATCGATTTTCATTTATTATATCATAGTATATTGATCTGTTTTATACAACACTATGTATTTTTCATATAAATAAATCAGTCAATAAATCGTCAAGAAAAAAAAGTATTATTTAAAATGAAAATTATTGGGTGAAAACAAAACGCGATTTTGATTCAACCAGGATTAACGCTCGAGAATCATCATAACGCGATTGTCAAAACATAACTAAAAACATTATTTCTAAACAAACATAATCCTAAAACGGATCGATGGAGAATCATCATTACCTCTGCGATTTTGATTCAGCCAGGCTTAACGCTCGAGAATCATCATTACCTCTGCGATTATAAATAAGTTTTATAACTTAGTCTATAATATTATAAAGTGAAAACATTTTTGTTGAAGAAGATAAATATCGTTGTTTAAATTCATCTATCTCTGGTATTTCAGGATTAACAATCTCGAGGAATGTATGTCTTGTTAGGTTAAAATTTAACGAAATGAAGATATCTAAATCAAAAATCTATACAAAATGATAAATTTACATTTGCATCACAAAAGATTAGTTTCATGGACTCCCTTAGTCTTTCATGAAATGTCTTCACGTATGAAGGATTTTGAATCGGATGCGAAAGCAGTCTTCCTCGGTTTTATATCGCTTAAGAAAGACAATTGTAAATTATTCGTCATTTTTGTTTTAGGTTTTCGAGAGATGATAAATATAATGGTTAAGAGAGGCTATATTTTAATATGTAGGGACGATATACAATTACATGAATGTAGGGGAGAATATTTCATATGAGTTTTTCAAATATCTCTTTTGAGGAACAAAGAATATTTCTTGAAGATTTTGAATTAGTTAGGAAGTTTAAAGTTTAACAGTTAATGGTAATCTAACTACGGTAAGTTACCGAAATTTATGGAATCTACGATATTGATTGTGGTTAATCTATAACTTGTAGGTAAAGCAATTTCTTTATTGTAGTAGGAAGATAATTATAGAAAATCGTATTTGCAATATTTTCTTAACAAAACGTATCTCGTCCATTAAATGTCAACATGAGCGTGATGATATATCTTTTTTGGTTGATATCACTATATGTCGTCTTACTATGGTATATAAATACATGTAAATTTAGTGAGACATGAAAACATATTTCATATATGAATAAAAACATGAAATGAAGGTCTATAACACAATATAAATGAAATGAAAGTTTATAAAGTCCATGTATGATGCATATACCAAAAAATGTCAACCAAAAAAATATAATGTTGGAAATCTATAGATTGAAATCGTGTGATATAAGGTCTATAACACAATATAAATGAAATGAAGGTTTATATAGTCCATGTATGATGCATATAACAAAAATGTCAACCAAAAAAGTATAGTGTTGGAAATACATAGATTGAAATCATGTAATATAAGGTCTATAACACAATATAATTGTATGAAATATAGTATGATATATAAATACGGGTAAATTTAGTGAGACATGAAAACATATTTCATATATAAAGATAAATCATGAAATGAAGATCTATAACACAATATAAATGAAATGAAGGTTTATAAAGTCCATGTATGATGCATATACCAAAAAATGTCAACCAAAAAAGTATAATGTTGAAAATATATAGATTGAAATTGTGTAATATAAGATGTATAACACAATATAATGTATGAAATATAGTTTGGAATATGGTTATAAAATATATATATGATTTATATACCAAAAAAAGTCAACCATAAAAGTATAATGCCGAAAATCTAAAGATTGAAATCATGTAATATAAGGTATATAATATAATATAAATGTATGAAATGTATTATGAAATGTGGTTATAAAGTCCATATATGATGCATATACCAAATAGTGTAATATAATGTTGGAAATCAATAAATGTATGAAATATAGTATGAAATATGGTTAGAGTAATTAATGGGAAGAGAGAAAAATAATTAATAGGAAAAGAGAGAATAATTAATTGTTAGAGTAATTAATGGAAAGAAAAAGAATAATTCGGGTATATGCAATATGTGATATGATTTGTAACAAATTAATTTATATATAGATGTAAGACGAAAATAAATTACCAAAATGCCATTAATGAAGGGTGCACACAACTTCCATCAGTCAATTTTTTAAGGGTGCCTTCATTTTTAATAGTATAGATCTTTCTCTCTTTTTTCATAAATAATTAATCTTCCTATTAAAACAATATCTTGCTTCTGTTTTTTTTTTTTTAGATTTTTGGTTATTAAAGTTGTTTTATACATATATAATTTATATAAGTAGATAATGTTTATTAGTAGAAAAGGTTATCTTCGTCGGTATAATTCATGTTATTTTAATTTTAAATCTATACTATTATTTGCAAAGTGATTTTTTGCAACGGAGCCCTCACGTTAAAAGTTAGAGTGGTTAATATCGATTATACCCTTAATGAATAAAATATATAAATCAGCTAAAAATAAAAACGAAATTGATATTTATTTGATTAGATAAATGATTTAAATTAATAATAATGATAAGAATTATCCATATTATAAATATATATTTAAAAAAGAAAAAGATAATTCCTATATATATTGTGTTGTTATCCAAAAAATATATTTTAATAAAAAATCAAAAACAGAAAACACATAAATAAATACTCATAGAGAAACTTTTTAATTGTACATAATTGAAAAGAGAAAATTGAAAAATTTATAATACGTAATTATTTTTTTAATTAAAAGAATATAATAATATAACATAATGATATATATATATTTGTGAAGTAATTTTTTGCCTCTGAACTCACAGGTTAAATTAAATTTACTTTATATTGTATAAAGTATAACATTAAACATGAATTAATCATAATAAAATAAAAGATCATTCAAAAAGAAAAGAAAAATACATTGTTGACAAAATAAATTCAAATATATTTTATTATTATCCAAACTAATATTATTCTTTCTGTAAGATCAATTTTTGAATGTATATTTATTGATTCAATTTATCAAATTGAAAGATATGTTTCTATATTTTTTTATCAATTGAGAAGAAATGAAACCGATTTTAGATTTTGTTTTCAAAGTTTTAAGGGAAAAATAGATTTTTTTTAAAAAAAAATTTATGAATAAGTTTATCATGTAAAAACATTTAATGTTCTAGGTCTAATTTTTTGGATGAAAATAATGATTTTTTAAATTATCTTAAAAATAATTAAGCCTGCATGAGCGGGCAAAACACCTAGTTAGAAATTAAACTTGAATACTTTCATCATTATTTCACAACATTATGAACGAAACAATAAATCAAACAAAAACTATAAAATATCAACAAACAGAGTAAAAGAATCACAAAGATTAAAAAAAAAAGCATAACGTTCTTCAAATAGTCTTATTCTGAAGTTCACATTTATCCTATTTAACTCTCTTTAGCACACTCCTCCATCAAGCTACTACATATCTTCAAGAACCACTATAACCAAACTAAACACTAGACTTTAAAATCAAAAGATTGGTGTTTCGTCGGGTTAATATGCCTTCCCACGTACAATCCACTTGCTGGTAATATCACTAGATTGTGATTTCTCCAATCTCTGAGAGATCCCCGAGATCATTACTTTGACAAGCCACACTATCAAGCATCGACTCCCAATCAAGCAACTCCTCATCAATCCCAAACCCAACTTCAGAAAAGTCACATAAACCTACCCACCAATCTGTACCACCATTTTCATTTAAACTCGAACTCAAAACACTTCCCTCCCTTTCCTTTTCCACACTAATGTCATGATTAATCACTATATTACCAATATCCACACAACAACTACTATTGTCCCCACTCTCACACACCTTGTTCTGACCGGAGTCATCGTGATCCACTTCAGTCACCGCCTCTTCAGTAAAACAATCCCTGACGAAGCTACTCATGAGCCGCTCTATCTCACCATCCAACCACTCGTATGGCTCCAAAGACTCTCCTTCTAAATTACCATTTTGCCCTCCATCAGTGATCTCACTCTCTAAGCCTTTGGATTGTGGGAAACATTGCAAGGCCGTCACCATTTGCTTTTGTTTCTTCATGGAGGACCTACTAGTTTTTCCCTTCTTCGTTTTGGTCTTCTTATTGTTTTTCGCTCCAGAGAAAAAAGAAAAAGACTTCTTTAGGACTAAATCATCGACGTTAAGATAATGTTCATCTCCAGAAACGGCTTTGAAAGAGTAGATTTTGCGGCTAAGATGTGAGTTCCAATAATTTTTAATTTCGTTGTCTGTTCTCCCTGGTAGATGTGTTGCAATAAGCGACCACCTACGCACACACAAACAAAATAAAGGCACAAATAACACACGTGAGACAATTAATATAAATTTCAAAAAATCAATTAAATTATATACTCCCTCCGTTTCACATTAAGTGTCGTTGAATTTTTTACATTATAAAATAATTGTCGTTTTCGGTTTTCAATGCAAAATTTATTAACTCTATTATGTAATTTGTTTTTCTATTGGTTAAAATATAGTTAGGTTTATGGGTAACTGTGTTTTTATATAGGAAATATGTAAAATTAATTATTTTTTTAATCCGTGTGCACAACTGTAGAGTGACACTTATAATGAAACATAGAGAGAGTATATTCTGTCACAACTTAGCTTTTAATTAATTTAGTACTATACATACATATATGGATGGTTATATACATATGTGTGTGTCTTTAATAGATAAATTTAATTAGATTTTTTTTGTTTGAAAAATATAGTTCCAAGAGTGATCAATCGTTGCATTGTTATGGTGGCCACTAGACCAGGACAGTACACATGATAGTTCTATTCACTTTGTTTTTTCTGTACGGTTGGATCCGAGACCATTTCATATGTTTCTAAGTTGTACTTTACTGACCCCGCGACCACTTTACAGTCACAACTTAGTGACAAAATTGTAATACAACAATAAATTTGAATTACATATGAATTGTGTAATATGTACATACATATGTGATGAAGTGACGTTGCAAATTTGTTTTATTAAATTACCTGTTGCCGAAAAGGGAATGCAACTTGAAGATGATGTCTTCTTCCTCGGCTGTGATATTGCCTCGTTTCAAGTTCATTCTCAAATAGTTTATCCACCTTAGTCTACAGCTCTTTCCACATCTCAACAATCCTTCACATTTTGTGGTTGTTATTAGACCATGTAGAAATTGAAATCAGTTTGGTATAGAATTTAATTTACAATCAAAATAACATCATAGGTTTCGTTAAGGATTGGCACATTTTTCATTTTTCCATGCATCAACTACTTCCGTCTCTATTATATTGCCATTTTATATTGCAAGAAACCCATAAACTAAACAAAAAAAACGTCATGGTCAATAGCTTTTATAACAACTTAAAGAACTTAGCAGCTTTTCGAATATCAAAATTTTAAAAACCACAAATTGTGATATATATATATATATATATATATATATATGTTAAGAAACTAAAATCTGAATATTCAAAGATATACATACCAGCTTTCTTAGGCAATGACCGCCAAGAACCTTCACCGTTGGTTTGAATATAATTAGTGAGGATCTTATCTTCCTCAGTTGTCCATCTCCCTCTCTTCAGCCCTATTTTCTCGCAACAAGGAGCCCTTCCCATATCTTTCAATCTCTTTTCTCAAAAGAGAAAAAATAGAAAGAACATAAAATGTTTTAGGCCCTTGAGTGAGAGAGAGTGAGTGAGTGAGTGAGTGAGTGAGTGAGTGAGTGAGTGAGTGAGTGAGTGAAAGAAGAAACCATCCAGGTGATTAATATATATAGAGAGAGAGTACAAAAGGGAAAGAGAGGTTTAGGGTTTAAAAAATACGTCTATTGGTGAAGGAACGAATCACGTAGAGTGGACTTAAAAGTCATATATTACGCCCATCCCCAAAACCATCTCAGAAGAGACACTCCACGTACCTCTCCTTCTAACCTTTGGTCCCTCTTTCCACCCTTTTCCGTGCTCAACAAGTTATTTATTACTATGTATACTTTTATACCTACATACGTACTTGGATGTCATGTACATGTAATGTAGCTATTATATGCATAAACCTACTTATAGTATGCATCTAATGAATGCGTCTTGAAGCGCCACGTACAAATCTCCTCAAGAGTTTTTATCAGTCAAAGTTAAATAAATGTTCAAGAGTATAATTAGTAGTATATTCCAAAAGCGTATAATTAACAAATTAGTGCGTATATGGTATACACTATCTGAAATATTTGATGAAGCGATACCGTAATCAGAAAGTGGCTGGACAAACAACACGAGTGCTACATCTTATAAAATCTGAACAAGAGTCAATGGAACGAAACACCTCTAGTGACTTTAGAGCATCTCCAACATGCACTTTTATTTTTAAAGGATTCATTCCTAAAGAATTTCCAACAAGTCCATTCATTTTGAAGAAGAAACACTCTCAAAATAATGAGTTGAAGGTGTATTACTCCAACAGTCCAACGGTTATATGCAAATTTATTTTAAGAGAATAAGTAATATACATTTTAGTCTTTAATATTACTAATAATTAAATATAATCATTTAACTTTCATAAACCAATAAACATATTATTTAAAAGATATTAAAATAAAATATTTATGAAAAGATATAATAATATATAGTAAAATATAATCAAAAGTAGTACAAAAGTTTGAATAAAATATTTTAGTCAAATATTAATTTTAAATATATTAAAAAGTACTAAAATCTAATATATAAAAAGTTATTTATGCAGTTTTGAAACATATATAATTGTAGTAACTAAAATAAAAATAAATAATATTTTAAGAAGGTAAACAATGCACCATTAAATTAAAGATGTACTATTCACCCATTTAAAATTTAAAGATACAAACAATAATAAAATGCATAACCCCTCGAAATGAAAGAATAAAGAGTTATTGAAAATGCTCTTAAAATAAGAAATTGAGAGTGTGCTGCTCCATAAATAAACTATAAAATGGTTTTTTAAAATATATATATATATATAATAATTGTATTGATGTAACTAAAATAGTATAACATGTTGATACAATATTTATAATTAAATATCTATAATAAAATATGATATAAATTATTCTTTTGATTCTTATAAATATATATAACTAAAAAAACTAAAATTACAAGTAAATAATATTTTTACAAGGTGAATACTGCACCCTAGAAATGTAAAAACTAAAACGAAAAGTAAAAAATATTTTGAGAAGGTGAATAGTGCAGCTTTAAATATTAGGGTGCAATATTCACTATCTAAAATTTTCGAGAAAATAAATGTATGTTACAATGCAAAACTTTTTTTAAAAAACAGAGATAAGAACTATTGAAGATGCTCTTAGAGTGGGCGACAATGGCTATGTTAAAATGACTATATTTATATATATTTGGATCATCTTGGACATTATTCATAAGTGGTAGGCAATTATTTTTCGTCGGTTCAATTACTGAATGATAGCTATCTTGGTAGCTACTGCTTATACTCTTCTGTTTGGTGTTATCGTACATTTTCCTATATTTCTCCCATATTTTTCCCATTAGTTATTTCTTTAGCATCTCAGCTTACCAACTTGGAAACAAACGGTAAAGTATAAGATTATTTCGTAACATGAAGAAATAAGTAGATGTCACTGTGAAGGAATCAATAAAAGACTACGAGGTGAATAGAAACTAGAAAAGTATCCATATCAGGGTAATTAAAAAGTAAAATCAAAATGTAAGTAAAAATCAAGACATCATTATATCATATAGCATAAAATAAAACAAAAGCATATATAGTTTTGGGCATACGTGTATTAAAAAGATGAACGCTGAGTCCAGCTAGCCGCTTATATAATCAAATGAATATACATGAAGTAGTAGAAGTATAGATTCACCATGAAAGAATGTAAATAAGTAAATATGTTTATTAATTATCAACCCAAATCAGGTAATGATTACATAAAAATTGACCCGAAAAATGAAACGGAAGAACTCTAAACTGAGTAATGTTTCAATTGTCTCTATATCTCAGTTGCTTCTCACTTCTTTTTTTTGACAAAAGTTGCTTCTCTTTGATAATCATGTTTGCCGCTTTCAACAGCAGATATCTTGAGCTCTTTCTGATTAGTTGAAGCCACTTGAACAACAATTACATAGGTATGCCGGGGAGCCCGATCTATATAATCATGTGAACTTCGCCGTCTATGAAAAATAGAACTATTGTGCTGGTTCATCCATTGTTTTTAAAATGCGGTCTAGACGCATGTCTAGGCGCCGCTTAGGTGCTATATAGTAATCAACCGTATCGTATTCGTATTTTTATTCTGATTTATATAATTCAAGCACGTAATAGCATTTAAGCGGATATTTATATGGATGTCTATGCGGATTTTAAGATTTAACTACATTTTGATCCGCGCAACCGCGCGGGTGTTTGTTTTCACTTTTTTATACATAAATATTTGTTTTATAACAGTGGTATATATTTTTAACGTTAATCATATACTTAAATGTTTATATAAGTATCTAAAATATAGTAATTTTATAATTTACATTTATATTAATCAATTGTTAAAAACCATATGTATATTTGTCACTTTTTATTATATATTTATCTCATTGTATTTGCATTTAGTTATTAAACAAATTAATATTAATAAGAAAACATATTGGAAAATTATTTTATATTTAATTTATGATAAATTCTGACCCAACCTTCAAAACATGATTCTTTTACCAATTTTTTTTTCTGTTTATTCATTTTAGGTAATATTTTATTGTATATACAAAAGTTTAAGATATGTTAATTTTTAGACATGTATTATATAGTTTGCTAATTTTAATCCGTTCTGTCATCATATTATATTTTTAAAATAAATAGTTTATATTTATGAAAATAAAATTTATAAGTTTAATATACATTTATCATATTTAGTTCAATATAACAATTGTCTTTTAACATGATTATTATGACTATGAAGTAAATCAAATATGATATAATTAAATGTTTCATTTTATAACGATAACATAAAATACATCAACTTATTCTAAAATATTTTTACACATATTTATTAGAATTTAAAAATATAATATATAAATATATATATTTATATTTAAAATGAAAAAGATAACATGATTAAAGTAGTTATAAAGCTTTTATATTATTAGCTCTAATGAAATACATGTTAGTTTATATACATGTATTATATAGTTTGCTAATGTTAACCCGTCTTACATACATATTAGATTTTATTTTTGAACATAAATATATTATACTTACAAAAATAAAATATATAAATTTATCAATTTAATACAATTAATTATATTTAGTTTAATATAATAATTTTCTTTTAATATGATTGATTATTATTATATAATAAATAATATGATATAATTTTTTATTTTATAAAATTAACTGAATATATTAATGTATAATAATATTTTAAACTAATTTGGAATTAGTGCAAATATTAAAAGATGATATCAAAAATGAAGATCTTATAAAAATCTTTTAAAACTGGTTTGTTAGAATTTAAATATATATGTTTATATTTAAAATGAAAAGATATCAAAAGATATTATGATTAAAGTATTTTAAAGGTTCTATATATTATTAGGCTTTATGAAATACATATAATATAAGTTCTTAGTGACAGTTCTTTTTTAAAAAAAATCACACATGAAGTGAAGTCATGACTTCTGTCTTAATATATAAGATATTAAAAGAAACTAAACTACTAATATCATTATATATCTATTAATGTTACTATCTATACTATTATATAAGAAGTAAATTTGTTTAGTTGTCAACTTCTTTTTGATTTTAGGTAAATTTGTTTATTTATCTTATTTAAATTATAGTATAAAAGAAGTAAATTTGCTTAGTTGTCAACTTCTTTTTGATTTTAGGTAAATTTGTTTATTTATCTTATTTAAATAATTTCAAATACAATTGATTATTTAATATAAACGAATTATATTAATAGTATTATATTTTAGAAAATATGTTAATTATTTTGTATTAAATTGTTATCTTGAAAATCTATTTTTCTATTATAAAATTCAAGTGAATTTACTAATTGATTTGTAGCTTCTCCATGATTTTTGTAGTTTTGCTTATTTGTTATATTTTTAATAATTTTATGAATAATTTATCATATAAAAACGATTTCTATTAATAATATTCTACTTTTTGAAAATAAGATAATTCTTATGTATTATATTATTATCTTTGAAATATATATTTCTTAGCATAGAAATTAAAAATTAAGTTAAAATATTAATAGTTGAATATAAAGAAAGTAATGCTGATTTATCAACTTCTCTATGGTTTTATATTTTGCTTATTATCATATTTTAAATAATAAAATGAATGTATACTAATAATACTAGATTTAAAAAAAAGATACTTCTTATGTATTAGATTTTTATCTTGAACATATATTTTTTATTAGAAAATTTAAGTGAATTATCTGATTTGTAATTTCTCCATGATTTAGATATATTTTATTATTTGTCATATTTTTAATAATTTCATATAAAAATTATTATAAAAGAAAAACGAATATCTATTAAAAATTATATTTTGAGAAAAATAAGATACTTCTTATGTATTATATTGTTATCTTGAAAATATATTT